ATTCAAAAAATTTCCACAACAACAACGATCTTTTTATTAATTATTTTTAGAAAAATTCTAAGTACTCAGTTTTGTAGCTCACTAAATTCTAACACTTTATAAGTGTGAGTTTCAAGAGGCTAAGCATCGGTTTTAAAATCAATAGAATCCAAATCAAAGATATTTCGAAACTTGGAATTTCAGCCACTCTCAGACTACTGTGCCATCACAGGGCCACCTCATTGTCACTCTTTGCTGGGTTCCCAGGAAACGAGTCTGCAGACGAGATGACCTGGTATGGCTCTGAGGTGCCAATAAACGTTGCAGACAGCTTTATACAACCATAGTTTAGTTTAGTAATCATATCAGAAAAATGTATCAATAAACTCCACCCCTTATAAATGACTTATGTATTCTCTGGGTCATTACCGTCGCGGTTAAATGAAACTCATCAGATTTGCAGTTAAGGCTCTTACTAACGTCATCAAATTGTACCGATGCCTCACCGATGGCGAATATCAGAGTTCTCCCTGCTTTTATTGCGGAAATGAAAATTAGGAAAATTAATTGACCCAACTACCATTGTAGACCAGCAACATAGGCGCTTAAAACCCTTCTGTAACGCTAACGCTTCTTAAGCAGTCAGGCAAAGATAGTAAATATGAAAAAAATATGGTTTTTCGTTAGCGCCTTGATAGCCCAGCAAATCTGTTTCTTGGACTTCTTTATATGGAATTGAAGTTGTGCTCGACCAAAGCCAAAACTCAAATATGTAATTTACAATTTTTAGGTTAGCACATCCAATGCTCTAAATACAACAAAACATTTGGTTTTATTTGAATCTCCCATGCCATTTACAGAGTTTACCATTCTCTACAGGGTCTCAATGCCTTCATAAATAATACAAGCGTAGTAAATTGCGAATAAAATCCACAATGCAAAGATATCTCGCTATCATTTTTTGTCTCTAAAGCTTTCATCAAATATTTGCAAATCAACGAACTCAACGCAGTCACTTCGTTCGGTCCACTTTACATGCTGGCCGGGTAATGATGTGATTGCGTATACCAAAAGGCACGCTCACACCACAACGGCCAGTGTGCTTCTTTCGATCTCATTCCCAGTATGCCACTGCTGCTGAGCAATCGCAGTGTTGACAACTTCATTGTCTATTATGAACACGAGCAGAAATATGAGAAGCTTTTCATGCAGCTGGAAGCGCTACCACGCGTCTGTTGGCGTCTAATCAAATTTTGTTTTGGTCTGGATTTACTACGCGCTTTGATAACCAAATTTTTTCATTCCTACAAAGGTATTTATGACAGCGATCGATTGTTGATGTCCTGCGGTTCACTGTACACGGCGCTTTCGCGCACCTATCCAGAGGCACAGGCACCAGCCAAATCGACGGTAATCCCTGTAGAAGCGAGCGGCGAGCGGACGCCATTGTTTAAGGGTAGCAAAAGTTATGGTGGTGGCACTGCAACGGCGGCAATCGGTGATGGTTATGCCAGCAAGAGTGGGGCTGATAGCAGCTATGGCAGTGAGAATGATAACTCCAGTATCAAAGGCGGCAAGGGCATCGTTAATGTGGCGATGCGAAAACATGGAAAGGAATGCTGCGCTTACGCACAAATGATGACATTTGTTTCGATTCTAGCTGGTGGTTGTGTTATCGCCGCTTATCTCTTAATTGCTGAATGTAAGTTTTGAGATCAACAAACAAAAATAATAACAAACATACCTAAATATTTAACATTTGTATACAATTAACCTATCTGTTGATGTACTACCTAGACTTGATAATAAAAAAATAGCATCGCTTTGTTGAGCTATAAAGCGTTGGTTAAGGTATATATGTATTTACTATGTATGCGCTCAAACAATGACTCATCCCGCTATGGGGAGTGGGTCAATTATGTCTATGATAACTTACTTGAAAGTAAGATGAGAAACCCAAATTAGATATACTAAAGGGATGACGACTGCTTCTCCAATCATTCTGCTATCAGCACGGTCTGATACGGTTTGATTTAATTTAATTTTAGCGAGGCCATTTTGTATTGTGCTCGGAAAGTGGATTAGTCTCCAGTTAGTCAATGCTTCCTCAATGAAAATTCACTTTAATAATTATTTTCCTTGAGACATAATTACGCACCCTGCGATAGTTCTTGGCATGGCTTTCCTAAAGCGATGTTACTCGTAATTCCTCTCTTGCACCGTAGACCGTGCATTTTATTTTTATTTTTCGGGAATAAAACCATTAAGAAAATAAGGGCTTATGGCTCACCACGCCAGCAGCAGGAAATCAAATGGATTCTTATTTTATTTAGAGTAGGAAATATCCAAAGGCGGCGAGAAGGTACGGAGAAGTTGAGCAGCCTATAAATGTTGTATATATTTTGTGGGAAAGTTGTGATGTCGTAGTAAAGAAAACCTCGTTTCTCCGAATTTCCAAAAAAAAATTCTGCCCGACAAATCAGTGGGTATCAATGAGAATTGATTGTGGGAAGTTTCTCTCGCGGTACAGTTGTCATACATATGACCAGTCAACGAAAATTTAACTTAAGTTAACTGATCGATGTAGCTAATTTACTGGAAATATTTAAAATATTTAAGGTTACTTTTCCAGGTCTTTAAATGTGAAAATATTTATTGTTTTTTTTATCAGCCGAACTATCTGACGTGGCTTTAAACGAATTTTTATCGCAAATAAAACATGCATTTTATGTCGAATACAATTCTTATTTTGACTTCAGCGCCACCTAGCGGTTTCATTTCTTGCAAATCAATGTATTAGTATGTTTCAACTAAATATGCCAAATATTAAACAGATCGGGGAATAAATAAAGCTTTTAAAAATATCTTAACGCTGGGGCCACCTAGCGGGGCCATTATTCACAAAAAATTGTATGATGGCATAAGCAGTATACACTTAGGTCTCTTTTTAGGCGGTTCTTTTTCATGCAGATTTTAATGTATGCGGTTTTTCAAACCATTTTTTCGCTGTAGCTAAATATTTTGCTTTTTTGAGAGTTCTTATTACTTTTTTTCAATGTGTAAGAGGCAATGCTTCTGATAAACAATTTGTCTTTGTATTCTTACATAATTCATGTCTTTTGTATGGTATTTTTTTGTTTTTGGTTAAAATACAGATACAATTTTATTTATTTCATTAATGTTCAGTTTTACATGGAAGAATAAGTGTTGAAGTGAAGTAATAATTTTATTTTATTTTTTTTTTGCTTTGCCTCTCTGGATTTTTTATGCAGTTTTTTAGAATTTTTTTAAATGGAGTATCTGAATTTACGCGGTTTTCGAAAATGCGGAAATGCATCCCCTGTTTTTGTATGAAATTAAAGAACTTTTTTGTGCGGATTTTTTTATGCGGCTTTCTGAGGAACGCATGTACCGCATAAAAAACGACCTAAGTGTATATTATAACAAGTAATTTTAAGCAAAAAACACAACCGATTCAATTCTCACTTAAAAAAAAATTAGGAGCATTGTTAATTTATTCTCGGATCTAAACCATATTAGTATGGGACCACCTCTGAAATTGATTAACATGCTCCAAAGTTATGTGGTAATATACATAAAAACAATATTCCGATGAATTGATAACCTCCTACTTTTTTGGGAGTTTGTTAAAAAGCAGCCAAATTGGCCCATAAATAAGTTTGATATATGACTTTATATATTTGTTCTCGCTAGACCTTCCGCTGTAAACGCCCACATCACACCTACTTTGAAATCGGAGAAAATCGCAATTTTGCCTTCTTTTAGCGGATAGCTAGGGCAAAAATTAATAATTACAAACTTTTATTCGTGTCTCAGTCTAATGTATTAGTATATGTAGTACAATCCTTTTTTTTAGGCAATTTAAGCTGTTATTCATTTACAACAAAGAAATAAATATCCTCCAAAGTTGTGCATTACCACCATCCTCCCATTCCGCAAACAATTTTCAAGTTTCTTTCTCTTACAGCACGCTTGCCGACTTTGCGATTCTCGTTGGATCTGGTACATCGTCACCTGTGGAGCAATGTTTCCGCACCACTCGCCGCCATCTTGAACCACTCCAACGTACTAAATATTGTGATAATGCAGACTGGTGGAACTAATTGTGATAAATATGAGAAATGCCTACAAATTCTACGCGAACTTCAAAAGCAGGTTTCTAAACTACAAACCATTGGGGGTGTGTTCGAGCTACGTAATACTAGCCGCAATATTGCAACACTGTTGCTTTCTTGTTGCTCTGTTGCTGATGCTCAACTGGAGATCTGCTGAAATGCTGCAGAAATTGCGCAGTGAAAAATGTTATATTTCATCAGGGTTGCCAGTGATGGGCAACGGATTGTCAATATTTCGTTCCGAATTTTCGGGTAGAGCGTAAGGCACTTTCATAAAATAATAACACTGCCGCATTTATTGCAGCTCGAATACACCCAATTATTCCTTTAGCAACAATATGTAAATATATGGATATATATATGTTTGTATGTATGTATTTATATGTAGTATCAAGAAAAGCATGGCACCGCTCAGGAGATTCCGTTTAACTTTCTGATTGGCGGCGATCGACAGACCTATGAGGCACGCGGTTGGAACTATGAAAGTGGGCTGCCATTGGTGGTGGTGCCACAGAATGCCTCGCTGGTGATTGCATTCATAGGTATGTCTTGTGGCGCATCATCTTGGTGAGCATACTAAAAAAAAAAACTAACGTTTTTATATGCCATTCATTCAGGCAACTACACGATATCGGCGCCCAATGCGATGCAGCTGCGCTCGGCTCTTTCGCTCATTGCTGAGTCGGTGCGACAAAAGAAGCTCCAGCGCAAATATAAAATATTTGGCCTGCAGAATTCAAGCGACGCTTATAATGACGGAAAGGCGCTTTTTGGCGCCATTGGCCAGTGGAAACAGTTCGATGGTCTGTTAGAAGTGATTTGACTAGGGTCTCGATTTTTTTTTTGCACTACCTGCTGAATGTCCATATGTATTTTTACGTAAATGTATGTGCATATGCGTATTTGTTTGATATGTTGCTCAGTTAAATTTTTTGCTTCATGGCAAGCCAAAAAATTAATTCAAAATTAGAAGGTATTAGTTATTTTTATATGTAATAAGCAAATTATTTATTTATTCAAATATTGCGCAGTTGCAACGATAAAGCATTGAATCGTATAGTTACATATTGTATGTATAAGTGCATATTCGTATGCATGTTAAGCTAGTAGTATAATTGTATAAATATATATGTATGTATCTGTACATAGAGACAAATAACTTTTTGTTGCATATGTTAACTTGCTATACGTAATACTAAACAAAGCCCTCAACTCATATGCTAAATGACGCAATGCAAACCATAATGCAACTTACTGCTTACTGCAAGCTAAACAATTGTAATTGTAATTATTTCCTTTACGAAATATTAAACTAACTTTAAGTAATGTAAATTAACACAACACGCACATCAACACAGCACCGGCGAGCTTGGCTCGTTTTTTTTATTTTTTTATTTTATTTTTTTGTTTCTCTTCTCCAGTAAAACTTCGCTGCTTTTAGTCTAATCGAATTCCAGTTTGCGAAAACTCCCCTCAATCGACTCGATCTGTGAGGCGAAATTCAAACCATTAGTACTTTTCTCAGCATTGAAGCTACTTTTCCGCAAAATTCCACGATCGCTGAGCAGCGCGCTCTTATCCAAGCTGATTATGGCCTCACGTCTGGCCACCAGCTCCTCTTTCCACAACTCCACCATCGCTTTCATAGGCATATGACCGCCCAGTTCTTGTGGCAGGCAAGTCGGATCGACATGCTTCGCCAGTTCTTTGTCCTGTGTGTAGAGCACCAACCGATCGCGCATCTTCGTACTCACGCGTCCCTTCACGAAATCGATTAGCCACTTGAGCGTCGCCGGCACATTCACCAAATGTATCTCTTTGTGTCGCAGCGGCAGCGATTGTTCGCTCCAACGAAAAACTCGTGCAAATTCGGTTGGATTCCAATTGGTCACATGCGTCGTGGTGACACCGGCAAAGTCGCCCACGTGTATGAGTCCACAGATTTGTGTGGCTTGATCTTCCATGAGGCACTCGTAGGTGAGGAAATGTGCACGCGCCTGATCGCTGCTGTTGTATAACTTTGGATTGAAGCCTTTGGCATTGATCACCACCACACGACGTCCGTTCTTGTCGCGCTGCGGTGAGGCGAAAATGTAGCCACTGCTGATAATGTCGTTCAACTTGGGTTCCAGAAAGTCCAGCTGTGTGCTCATGTGTGGAAAAGTGCGGCGCACATTCAAGTACTTGAGTAGAGTTTGTTGTGCCATGGGCACACTGTACTTTTTGCAACGCAGGAAGCGCAAAAGGAACTGTTCGTCCAGCCGCACATCGCGCATATCCTCATGTTTCAATATCCAGTTGCGCAATTGTTCCAGACTCTGCTCCCGCGTACACTTATCTTCGCGCAATTCGCGTTTGGCAATCTTTAGAATTTGTTCGGATAATTCGGTTTCGGCGAATTGTTCGATGGTGTGCTTCATGATGAGTGGATTGAGGTTATGTTAGCGCGTAACTGGCTGAATCGAGTGCGATAATTGATTGAGATGCGAATAGGAAGGAGCTTCTGTAAATATATAAAGAAAATAATTAATAAATAAATTTCTTAATGATGAAAACAATGTTTTTATATAATTAAGTCTATATAAAAACAGTGGAGCCTAAAAATATACACCATGAAGTAATAAGTACAGCTCGAATACTTATGTTAAAAAATAAGCCTAAAAATATGTAACATCATAACTATAAGCAAACTCTATATCAATTTATATATTTTGCTTATAGTTTTGAAGGCACCTATTTTAGGCTTATTTTTTTTATACAAATCCGAACTTTAGTCATAAGCCAAATCTAGCAGTATGCGAATAAAATTATCGATAGCGATTTTTCAAAATCCCACTGCAGGTCTCAGTTTTAATCCATACTTGCAGGCAGCTATGGTTTAAGCTCCTACAGGGTGAGAAGATAATGTATTTTGGTTCGAATTTCCATTGTACCCTGTTTTTTTTTTTTTTTTTGGTTCGGAGACAAACCGGTTTCGTCTTTGTGCCATATTTTTGAAAACGAAATTCGTTGCGAAATACTTTACTTGTTATTCTCCTTGGACTCTTCAAGCGTTTGTCGCAATGTAAAAGCAAGCATATCCTGAATTTAAAGCGAGATCTTTCTATTTATTACACAGAGAAAGATATTTTGAAGGTAGTCTCCGGGCACGTAGAGATTTCCATATAAATTTTTTTATTATTTTTGTGTGAAAATTACACCGTCCAGCAGTGTTTTTGCAAAAGAACAGGTCCGTTGAATTTAAGGCATACGCGGCAGTGGGTTAATATCCGTTATGTTTGTTAGACCGCGGAAGAAAGGCTTGCCTAGAAACTTCATTCAAGCCCTCTCCAGTTCTGCGCATATACGTGCCTTCAGAATCTAGTAAATTACAGATTGACAAAAAGTAATGTGTTCCAGCCGAAGTCCTGCAACAGCAGTTTCCAGGCTACAGTACCCTGTGTAAATGGCAGTTATTCAAAACAAATCCTTCCAGTTCAGTTTGGTGAGAAATTCAGTCCGGTAGTTGGGCCACAGGCTCCTTCCTACATATCGTAAAGTATTGTGGTTCTTTCCATCTACGGTCACCCATATTTTACCAGTGCTTAGAAATGCGGTCCTTGATACAGCGCAGAGGCACAAAAACCTCTTCTGCCACTGATATATCTAGAGCCGACCCGTTTCTGGCTTGCTCGTCGGCCATTTCGTTGCCATGAATGCTGCTGTACATGCCTAGCAGCTAAAGCCGTGACATATCTCTGGATTCTTTTATTATGCTTGAGGTGGTCCTCGTAGTTACAAAGCCAAGTGCCTTAATCGTACTGGACTGGTACTTGCTAGCTATGAGGCTAAAATTATTTTGCACACCTCTTTGATTGCAAAGACCTCCGCTTGAAAAACACGTGCCCCTTCGCCAGAATTCATTTTGAGCCGTCCGTAAAAACAAATGCTTCGAAGCTATCACTAAAACCAGTTTCCTTACACTGCTTCCTTTATTGGAGCATTATACCGAACAATTTCTTGAAGAGAAGGATATATTTAGTCGGATTTTTCGCGAATGCTTCAGTCGTTGAAAGAGTGCAGGATATGTCCACCCTCACGTGTATATGCCTCTATGGAGACCCAAAAAAACAAAAAAAAATATTCATTTAATACT